AAAAGAGAACTATTACTCTGAAAACGAAAAATAAATGGATTATCTCTATCGTACATCTTTATCGTACATTTTATAACCGCGTGATCCTCTACTGCCGTTGGTATTTTAGGAGATAAAATTTTATTTACCGAATTTAATAAATCAAGCGAGTTCTTTTCTTGGTSTCGTGGCAAAATACATGAAAATACCGATATGCAAAATTTCTTTGCTGTATTATCTAGCCCTACATGACCGGCGAAAACAGATGAATGACACTCCTCAAAGACCCTTTGCTTCTCTTCACGTCCTCTGGCTACCACTCTCTTTTCCCCTCCTTTTCCTACGTACCATAGTACGCGATGCTGGTGAGTTTCCGTTCGAGCGAGAGCTTCTTGTACATTCTCCGTAAAACATATTTCTCTTTATTCACAAAATCAGGAGGATATTCCTTTCGGGATAAATAGTTAAAAACATTATCATACTGTAAAGCTTCCATGACTTTTTGAATTTAGATTTAAAGAATTTCGTTGAATTTAGATTTAAAGAAAATTCTAAGATTTAGCCGGTTTGTAAACCGAAAACCAATCATTTATAGAGCATCCTTGACCTGGGGGAGAGAATCGTGTCAAAAGATGTTTCATAGGGAGGGGATGGGGGAACACAAAACACTAGTGCTCAGTGTTCGGGGGAACACATAACTCGGGGGAACACAAATCCCTGTGACACCGGTGTAAGGGTTGTAAAACTTCGGATTACTTTCGGATCCCACGTGCACAGCTAGCGGAGCATGGAGAGGATAGCCGATGTTATCCGAAGTCCCGCGTACTGGCTGGTCAACTTGGCTGCTCTGTTTACGACTGCTTACGACTATTTATCGACTGGGAAACGTTTGACCAACGTATCAAACCATGATTCAGTAGGATTCAGTGATTTCTACAAGGTAATCGCAGCCATCTTTGTAGTGAATTTTATCTGGTTTTTTTTAATTTTTTTGGAACAAGCTTAAGGCACACAGGTTTCATCGAATGTGTCAAGTGTTGTTTAATTAAAGTGCTTTCAGGCATTTGGAATATCTAGAAAGAATTTATCGCAAAAAACGACCACTGAATTGGCGTGTTTGTGCTACACGAAGCATGTTATAAATAGATGTCGCTTCATGAACTATTTTTACAGAACCGATGCGATGTGAAACCGACTCCGATTTTTACAGTGACAATATTTGAACCCTTTAAAGATATAACTGAGCTCCGTAAGCAGAATATTAAGCCCTGAATACCTGCAAGAGTGAATATTCTACATATACATGATTCAAAAATGTTGCTGTGTATCTATCAGCAGTAGACACGTGTACTCAACGAGTACGTATTTTTTGGAAGTTGATGTAATATCAGGAATTTTCAATAATAAATAATAAAAATAATTAACATTTATATAGCGCCATTTCCAGAAGCTCAATGGCGCTTTACAAAATCGCTATAAAATTTATAAAAATTCAAGCATAGGCTAATAATAAAATCATAATTTACCAAGTTGTTTAATTACTTTTTAAAGCAATCCGATCAGGATTTTCCTAAATATGATTAGTAAATGCCATAATCAAGATATGATCGGACGATTTGCCAACGATGAAATATCTATATTTTCGCGTTTGCTGTTTTCTCAGCGTAGAATACGAAGGTCAATTCGAAGGTCAATTCGATCAAACGTGCTAGCTCCCGGGAACTAATTTCGAAATACTAGATACCCGCAAAAGTGAAAATATAGACATTTTATCGTTTGTAGAAGTGCTTGACTATTCTAAATAAAGTAAGAATACTTTCAATGTGCAAAGATGTGTTTATTTGATGATTTTTTTTCAAAAATCAAAAACTACCGGGTATCTAGTATTTTGAAATTAGTTCCCGGGTGCCGGATATCTAGACGCTTCGTAAAAACAAACAACATAGTTTATGTTTTTTTTACCCTTGGCTCATAATCGAAGCGTGACTGATGTCGTGGAAAGAAAAATCGCTTAAAGACTTTTTAGTCAGCACTAAACGTCCTTAAAGAATCACCAACCAAAATTTATTCAAAAATATTTTCCATAGACCCTTCGTACGCGATATGTCGTTCTATCTGCTACTCGTGCAGTAGGTTTCGTGACACAATTGCCAAGTGTCATTCAATAACATCAGTCACGCTTCCAAGATCATGTAGAGCTGCCAAGGAATCAAACGGCGTTGCCATTTTTCTAAATATGGGTTTTCTGTTGTGTTTTACAGTGTACCAAGTGTTACAAATGACATCATAGTTATCATAGTTGGTGTTCGTAGGCATGCACAATCACATTTTCTAAGCATGGGTTTCCTGTGTTTCAAGTGTCTAGCTGGACATCTTGAATGATATCAATCACGTGTGGGTCCTCGTGGTATTGGCAAGTTAATTCAGCCTTCCATCCTCCACCAAGTAAGTTTTCTTTTCAGTGAATATCGTAGTTCCTAAACCCATTGTGAATAGTCATTACTGTAATAATTAATACTTTAACAAATCGAATACATGTCATTTATAGTGTAAGTGTAATAGATAAACACCGTTGAATACCCGGTTAGTGACCTCTACTGGAAATGATCTATTACCTTCATATATAACACTCAGGCTAAACTCATTGTACCCGATGAACTTTTCCCATGGGTTCAATTAATGCTAATAATTCTAAATTTCTGTTAATCCTCTTTGTCGTACTCGAGATCATTCGGAAAGCGACTTACAACATCCATAATGTAACACTCAGGCTACACTCAATGTACCCATTAACTTTTCCCATGGGTGCAATTAATGCTATTAATTTTCTGAGTAAATTTCTGTTAATCCTCTTCGTCGTATTCGAGATCATTCGGAAAGCCGAAGAATGTTTATAAATGAACATGAATATCCTGACTTGGTCGTGTGTGTTTAAGAATATGTTTATTATAGTATTGCGATATTCTCCAGTGTTGTCTTTTTACCGTCTTTCTTCGCCACAAAGTGGCAATTTTTACAGCTCATTAATCTTACTGGCATTATCAAAAATAAAATAAGGAAATGACAATCCAATGCAAGTCAAAAGCATCAAATCCAAACTTAATGAGCTTATCATGTGATTATCAGACTAAGGACAAATTCCAATCTTGAAAACATTGATTCATTTTTGTCTTTGATGTGAGGGAAAATCAAGATTTAATCATCATTTTCACATATGAACCGAATATAAATGTTGAATGAAGTTTAAGTCAGGTTAATAGTAGACGCGAGCAACAGTATTTTAGAGAGTGCGAGGGTTCGAGTAATGGCGCTATAGACGGCGCTAGGGTGGAGGGGAGGGGAGGGGAGGGGAGGGGAGATTACAGGAAGACAGGAATGTCTTGATACATCAAACTCTGTTCATGACACAAAACTGTAAATTTTAACCCTGTTAAGGAGCTAAGAGAATATTAATCGGTTCGAATATTGGTTTCCACATCAAGTAAAAACTAAGTAAAAGCTATCTAAGACTTGAAAAGACTAGATAGTGCTAACCTATCCAAAAATCATGACCCTGTTTAAGATAATATTATTGAAATCGTATACCCTGCCTAATCCAAAGAGCTCGAAAAACTATAAACAAGCAGTCATTTTTATAATGTTTGATAAAAATTTCACAATTTCTCCCCCGCAGAATCAACCAAGATGTGGGCATCACAGTTTATATTTATCCTGCTGTCTTTATTTGCCACGGGGGCTTTTGCCATCTCTAACAGGGACACAAAGTTTGTGGCGGCCGTGTATGAGCATGTCTTCATTGCAGCAGAAAACAAATCTGTGGTACTGTCTAAGCAAGACGCAGTGGCGATTGTCATGCGCAACATGGATATCTATGAATCCCAGATGGAAAAAGCAAAACAAAAGGTATTTAAAGTAGCAGTAGCAGTAGCAGTAGCAGTAGCAGTAGCAGTAGCAGTAGCAGTAGCAGTAGCAGTAGCAGTAGCAGTAGCAGTAGCAGTAGCAGTANAGCAGTAGCAGTAGCAGTAGCAGTAGCAGTAGCAGTAGCAGTAGCAGTAGCAGTAGCAGTAGCAGTAGCAGTAGCAGTAGCAGTAGCAGTAGCAGTAATCTACTATTTCTTTACTTTAATTAACAGAATGCAAGCATAATTGTCTTTCCTGAGTATGGCCTCACTGGTTTCAGTTATACCCGCAAATCTTTCAAGCCCTTTCTGGAGGATATTCCTGATCCCACGAAGATTGCCTGGAATCCTTGCCAAAATCCACAGACAAACCATTCAACTCCAATCCTGTATCGCCTAAGTTGCTTGGCCAAACGATATGACATGTACGTTGTAGTCAATATGGGAGACATCAAACCATGCCTTACCAAAACAGACCAATATTGCCCAACCGATGGACGCTATCAGTACAATACCAACATTGCATTTGACAACAGGGGGAAACTAGTTGCTAGGTACCATAAACAACATCCCTTCATGGTGGAGATGGAAGTGATCAACGTCCCACGTTTTCCAGAGTACATCTCCTTTGACACTCCCTTTGGAAAAATTGGTACGTTCATATGCTTTGATGTGCTTTTTTATGATCCGGCAGTGACATTAGTGAACAAGCATGAGATTGACCACGTCGTCTTTCCTACCGCTTGGTTCGATGTACTTCCTCTTTTTTCAGCGATTGGATTCCACGGGTCATGGGCTCGTGGTATGCAAGTAAACTTCCTTGCAGCAAATACTCACGTGCCGCCATACTTGAACACCGGCAGTGGCATTTATAGTCCAAATGGAGTGAAAAGCTACTACAGAAGTTTGTCAGAAAATGGTTCACTTTCCATTGCCACTTTGTCAAAAAAGCCACGGGACAATCTACAGAATACATCGACAGGGAATACAGAAAAATTTAAAGAAGTGAAGAACAATGAAGATTCGTTCTATTCTGACCTCTTCGGGGATGTCTTCCTTTTCAGAGAGTTGAAAGAATCAGAAGGAAGATTGGATGTATGCTATAATAAAAGTGAGGTATGTTGTGGTCTTAGCTACAAAATGAAGACCAAGCGTGCAGACGAAATGTATGCTTTGGGTGTTTTTGATGGCCTTCATACAAAAGAAGGGCAGTACTATCTACGAATATGCACGTTAATCAAATGCCATGGGCTTGACCGCAAGACATGTGGACAGCGCACATACAATGCAAGAACCATCTTTGAGTCCTTTACTCTCAAAAGCCAACTCAATACCCGTTACGTCTTTCCTCAAGTTGTAGCTGATGGAGTATCACTTTTGCCCGGGCAATGGGAACACGACAGGCCTGTGACGTACTTGAAGAGCAAACATCAGTTGAGCCAAAGTCTTTTGACGGCAGCTCTTTTTGGACGCGTGTACGAACTAGATGTCAACAAATCTGTGCCATCGTCTGGGGCACATATGATTAACAACGTTATCCTCATTTGCATTCTTGTACTGTTGGGTAGTTTTGAGAGTTCAAATATTTATGTGATTTACTACTTTCGATCGTTTGAACAATTTGAAAAAGAATTCATCTATAAATGAAATATCTGATTCCTTGACGCCCAACAATAACGCAAAGAAACATTATTTTCATTTTAGTGAGTGTGCAAGAACACGGCTGGCCACTCGATTTACCTTGTTAGATTGTCCTTGACTTCACCTGATTAAAATACATGTTTTCGTGGATCGTTTAATGCTTTCTTATTTAGCATTATACTTATTTATTTATTTTTTCTCGCTTAGAGTATGGCATGTCACTAAGGTATGAACCACACAAAAGATTCGTCTAGATATTTCCAGCTGATCTAAAATAGGGCCGTGAAAATGACGTCTTTGCAAAACTGAGGTGTTATGAAGCATGCAAAAATTGACAAGCGAAAAGTAAAAACATGCCCGCCATTGAAATAAAAACATAAAACTCATGAATTATTGTGACACGGTTATCAAACACGTGTTAGCATCCGTGATTTCAAGAGGAACAGTGACACTTCAGTTTTGCAAAATTTCTCGATTCTGATTGGCCAACATTTTTTTCTCACATCAGCTGGTTTGCTTTGTTCGCACTGTTCAGTTCCAGCTATAATCTATTGCTGGAATCTGATAAGAATATTGATCAATTTGGTGTTGAATCCAAGTGACAAACTGGCTAACTCTAGCAAACACTGAGTAGTGATTGGACGACGAGCAGTCTGGATCACCCCAGCTCACAACCCCTTGAAGTACCCATTGACCAGCGGTAGTCCCACACACAAATGGACCTCCACTATCACCATAGCAACCATTGGTCTTAGTTTTCCCAGCGTCCCCTGCGCAAAGCATCTTGCTAGTTACAGCCCATGTTCTGTTATCTGTGTGCAGCCCTCCGTTGGGGGAGGTGTCTAGTTTTGCTGCGCATGCGTCGTTAGAGACGACAGGCATTTCAGCCTGTTGAAGGATCTCGGCTCCAGATTCCGGATGTAGCATTTGTCCCCATCCTGGAAATACAAATTTATATCATTCAGATTGGTTTGGATGATAATGAAGGCTTTGCCCCATCACGTGATGGCAGCCATGACAGGAGGAAGGAACGATTGAATCTGGTAGTGTCTAATTTACGTGAGAAAGAATTCAGTTTCCCTTGGGAATAAGGCTCTAAAACCTACAGAAAATATAGTATGAGAGGAATCACATAACAAAATATACTCGTACTATGCGATGAGTAAATTGAAAAAAATTGAAAGTCTACGAAACTTCCAAAGACACCTAATTTTTCTATACACAATCATAATAACACAC